AAGCACCACTTTAATTTACAGCCCGCAAATGTTGTATTTACCCTGTAACTACATGGAACAAGGGGGGAACAAAGCACCACTTTAATTTACAGCCCGCAAATGTTGTATTTACCCTGTAACTACATGGAACAAGGGGGGAACAAAGCACCACTTTAATTTACAGCCCGCAAATGTTGTATTTACCCTGTAACTACATGGAACAAGGGAGGAACAAGTTGGACTTAAACACAGAACAAGTGTATATTTGCACAGTAATTACAGAGAAAAATATTGCACTAGTTTTAATTTAATTGTTCGATGGCCAAATTAAACCCTCTACATTTTTTGGCTGTAAAAACACCACAGTATACATCCACTGAAATGCAAATGTTGTATCATTTTTCTGCGAACAGCTGGAAAGAGGTAAACTTGTTTTAAGCTGCATTGAACCTTGATGGTATATCATGCAAAGTTATTTGGTGATAGTGGTGTTGAGAAGTTGCTGGTGTGAAGTTGCTGAAATCGACGAATAAGATTTCATAAGGTAAGTAGACTTGTGAATTATAAATCATAGCAGAAATTCATTAACTCATTTCAATAGATGTCCAGTTTTGTTGTTCAGTAATCTCCATCATGTCCGTCCTTTTATAATAGAATGTGTACCCCATGGTTAAAAAATACCTATACGCCTATAGTAAAATACCAATATAAAATTATAAAAAGTATATATCGTCTTTCTAAATCATTCCCAAACATAAGATTGTTGTTTAGGCCATACATACCACGTAATATTAGAATAAGCACCTCTTAGTTTCAAAATACTTACAGTATAAATGATTTGTAATATTACAGGTTGTTACCCCTTTATTCCCCAAACTTCGCATATTATTCCCTTATACCTACATGGAGGTACTGAATAGGTACACTATAATTACAAAAAAGTTACACTGTAACTTCAGTTTACTTACGCAGTTCTTTGCAGGTTGCATATCTGGTTGTTACCCCCTTATTACCCAAACGTAACACATTGTTCCCTTATACCTACACGTATGTTCTTTATAGGTACACTATAATTACAGAAACGTACACCATAAATTCAGTATACTTACATAGTTCTTTGCGGGTTGTAATCTAAAGCGTTACCAAGGTGTTTTTTACACTACCGTTGAGAAATTTTAACCAAACTATGTTACAGACTTTTCATTAAGACCCTAAATAATCATATCAACTTGTGGAAAATGGGCATCCTATGACCCCTTTAATGGCAAGTGACCTTAGTGTTTCGTCTCATGGGCCTCATTTATAAAATGTTGCACAGAACCATCTTAAATTTGATCTTACAAACATCTCTCAAATATGCATACGTGTGATTCATAGAATGAATGTATGCACAGAAAACACACACACGCGTCTCTTTAAGATGTGAAATCTATGAATTGCAAATGATCTTGAACTTGGGCACGCCGCACAACTGAATGGTTTCAGCTATCTGCCTTATAATCGACTCCTAATTAATGTTATTAACATATAAAAGATCACCAGTCATCATCCAAATTCTTTAATTTAGAACAGCGAGCTGCAAAACAGCTTACATTTTCAAAAACCTGCTGTACTCAAACTAGAAAAAAGTTCAGTGCATTTCTGTACGTACATTCATTTTATGAATCACACGTACGCATATTTGAAAAATGATTGTACGATAAATTTTAGGATGGTTTCTGCGCAACATTTTATAAATGAGGCCCCTGGCCTTTAACAAGGTACCAAATTGCTAATTGGCCCCTGGGAGTTGTACTTCTAAAATAAAATGCTTAGCTTTTCAACAATAAGAACAATTCTGCTCAATAACAAGTTGCTAAATGTGTGTTGGATAAAACCAGATGGAGTCTATGCTTGATTGCTTTCCACATTTAGTCTTAGTGACCAACGGAATTTCCAATGCAGTGCAGGTTCCACAATTTATTAATGGGACAATATGATACAGTGAGAGCAAAATGCATACAGTAGGCAGTTAGTATGCATCTCTCATTGAATGCTTCTGTTGAAAATAACCAAACTTACACAGAAGATATGCATCAATTGTTTTAGACTCCTTGGCACCACACCAGAAATGCGTTTGGTTAGGAGGGTCATTCTTTATAATAAATGGAGAACAAAAATACAGGCAAAAAGAATAAGACTAAATAAATGACTGCTATAATTAAAGTTATTTGAACAAGATCGATAATGTGCTTCACATTATTATTATTATTAGATTACTTTTTTTCTTTTTTAACAAGCTATAGCCTTTAATGGCCTCATTTATCTGACCACCGCAAGGGCTGTTTCCATAGTAACTTGCCAGCAGCGGGCATGTTTTTTATTTGATATATTTCATATATTTGATTCCCTTGTTTTATGTGCCTCTGTCTTTATGTTTGATATGCTTGAAATAAGGCTACTGTAATCTAGTAATGTAAAACAGTGAGCACATGTTAATATGCTGAAGACAAAGGTGGTTTTCTTGAACCATGGCAATTTTAATTTTCTGCTTGAGCTTTACAAGCTGTCCATCCTTCACTTTTTTAAAGTTATAATTCACCCAAAAATGACAATTTGCTGAAAATGTCCTCACCCTCAGGCCATCCAAGATGTAGATGATTATGTTTCTTCATCTGAACAGATTCAGAGAAATGTAGCATTACATCACTATATGAATGAGTGGTTTATCGTAAGCATGAATAAAATTAGTCTATAATACAACAGATTAAATACAACACAGCAATAATATACACAATGGCCTGAAGAATATGTGTGTTCATTCAAAGAAAGGTTTTCCTATGAATTAATTAGTAGAAAAGTACATTTCTACTGTGCGTTTGTCCTGGGGACACAGAGTGGGTTATCCTACTCACATTCCTGGGGGCGTAATAAAACCAGTGATATGGGGGATGGTGTTCAGCAGAAATCCTGGCATCCAGTTTATTGAGTGAGGGGACTGTGACGATTTGTTAATCTAATGAATAATTGATTTGTTAAATCAAATAAAAATTAGTGTGTCAGATTGGTCGAGACGCTACATCCCTGAAAACCTGGTAAAAGAATAAGACTGGTGTAAACATGCTCATCTGGGAAAGAACCAATGCTTGATCACTCTGCATTTATTTATTGATTATAAGTTTAGAGAAGGCAGTAAAACAAGGTACTGTTTTAAGAATTTAATGTCAAACTGACTAGGCTTGAGGACCACATATACTTTAGATCAAGAATGGATAGCATAGCAGCATCACAAACTAAGAACAGAACAAAGAGTGATAAAATTGTGATAGGTATTTACTTGTGAAAAACTACAGTATAAGGGAAACTTAGCACCTGAATGCACTTACATCATTGTTAAGTGATATAGAACAGGCAACCATAACCAGCACACCTATCTAAACAAAAAATAACATTCTTTAATGTTATTTAATTTCATAATGAAATTATCTCATTGGTTAAAATTGCAGCTCATCTGACTTATTCATGCTACATCTAAAATATAACAGTCCAAGGTAACACTCTATTTTAAGGTGCCCTTGTTACACGTTACATGTACTTACTATTATAATAACAATAAATTATGCATAATTACACGCAGGTAACCCTAAACCAAACCCTAATACTAACCCTAACCATATAGTAAGTACATGTAATTAATTAATATTACTCAGTACTTAAATGTGTAATTACACTGTAACAAGGACACCTTAAAATAAAGTGTAACCCAATCCACTGCCTTTATGTATTTATTCATATCTAGAAAACATACCTTAATTTCCTGTATATCACCTTACTCTTAAAGGAAATTCATACTGGCACAAACAAACAAATTCACACTACTGGAACACCTACACTTTTAGTATATATTAGATTACACACTGGCAACAAAATAAGCCAGCTTGGAAAACTGTTTTGATATTTCACACTGATCAGGAGCACATGACCATGCTCTGATGTAAACAAGCTGCACACATGTTCATTTCTATTCCACATCTGGTTCACCACATGGGGGCGTCAGCATGACCACTGTTGGGGAGACAGAGAGCACTGTTATCTCAGATCTGGGTTTATTTCACAGGTAAGCTCCTGAATCTGTGCATCATAATCACCTGGATACACTGTTCTTGTGTTCAGAAAGCAGTAAGGGTTTGTCACCAATGACACTGGAATAAGGCTCCACTTCTAGGTCCTCTTGCTTTTTGTAAGGGGTTGGGTACAAATAAATTTATATACAACACAGATAGCACAAGTATGTCTGCAAGATGTCTGTTAAAGATCGTTTGATCTGGAAAGGATCTGCTGTGTGCAAACATCTGAACGACGTCTGTAAAATGTCAGTTTATCATACATTCTAAATCATAAACATCTTAAAGACATCTAATAGACGTCTATTTGACATCTAAAAGGAAACGTCCTATAGACGTATTGCAGATAAGCAAACACTCTAAAAAATACGTGTTCCAGATGTAAATGCAGACGTCAAGTAGATGTCTCCGTGATGTATGTATGCTATCAGGGAAAGTTTTTATTTGAATGTGCATACAGTAGTAACTGTGGAACATGTAGTTTCCCCCAAAAAAAGTATTTGGACACTTGAGCCACAAATAAAAATATGCATGTCATTTAATTATATGTGAAAATATTAAACCAAATAGCATTTGTTTTAACTTTCAAACACTTTATTTCGACAGTCCACTTTAGAAATTTTTCTAGCTATAAGTAACTTTGCAACTTGTACATCTCAACAAACTCCCTTTAGAATATTAGCTACGATTATGGTTAGGGTTAGTAGAATGTGCATGTGCGGGCGAAGTTACTCATAGAATGTCTTTTGGGGGACCACTAAATAAAATAAAATGTTAGCAGATATTAAGTAGACAGTCTGTTGATACTCTAATGACTGGTAGTTGACAACCTTTAGAAGAATGAAGATATATTATTCAAAATATACACTTCCTGGTTGTCAGATGTTCTTATGCTAATAAAAGATGAACAGTGGTTATCCTGCAATAATACCAATGTGAACTTGATGGAAACTGACATCCACGAAAAGTAACAAAGTGTTTAAAAAGTGGCTCTTGTGACGAATCCTGTCCATGGACTTCCATCTGCTCGCCACCAGAGATCGCTCTTCCATTACACAGACTGTTACATGACTGTTCCCATCATCCATTGCACTGATTACACACACACAGCTGCATCCAATGAGACACGCTTTATAAGCCTTGGACTTCCTCTTTCAGAGTGCCGAGTATTGTCTGCATTTATCACTCTCCTAGCGATAGCAACTTTACGGAGCCATTCCGTGTATCCTAAGTTCAAATCTAGTGTGTCCTGTTTATTACCTGTTTTACCTGAGTCTTGATTCTAGCCCGGTTTACCTCGTCCTGTCTGATCTCTGCCTGCCCTGTAGCTTATATCCTGTCTTGGATTAACCCTTTGCCTGCTGTTTCGGATTGTGTTTGCACCTCGCCTGGACTATCTTCTGTTTCTGGATTCCCCGTTCGCATCTCCCTCAGGATTAAGTTCACAGTCGATCAACCCACGCCTGTTTAAGGATCACTCTTGTGTCTCGTCTGTACCATACCTGTTTGCTGGTGTTCGACCTTGGCTGTGTTTTGACCATGTCTCTGAATAAAACTATGCGTATGGATCCGCACGTCTCGGCAGGGATTGTAGGTGGGGGGAGTGAATGTACAGCGCTCTCTCCCACCTTCAATACCACGACTGAGGTGCTCTTGAGCAAGGCACCGAACCCCCAACTGCTCCCCGGGCGCTGCAGAAAAAAAAAACGGCTGCCCACTGCTCCGGGTGTGTGTTCACGGTGTGTGTGTGTTCACTGCTGTGTGTGTGCACTTTGGATGGGATAAATGCAGAGCACTAATTCCTAGTATGGGTCACCATACTTGGCCACATGTCACTTCACTTCACTCTCGTCTCAGTTGCCCCGTTACAGCTCTGAAGAATGAATCTCATTCAACAGCTCCAGCGTCATTTGATTTTGTCTCTAAATGCATTGAAATTCAGACATCTTCAAATGTGTGATGTAGGTGTCCAAAAGTATCCAAATACTTTTTGGTGCCATTGAATATTTTGAAACTGTGACAAATTGTACTTATTAAAAGTTATTGCAAAGAAATCAAATAAATAAATATTGCAAAATATTTGTAATAGATTTGCAGTTGTTGGAAAGATTTGGTTCAGTTTATTTTGGTACCACATCATACTAACTTGTTGGGATGGCAATTTGAGGCCTTGGCTCATTTTGCAAATAAAACACAACACCCTTACTTTGTGGCCACACAAATGCAAAATCCCTTTTCAATTTTATTTTTTTGAAGTTTTTGTTGATTTTTAAGCAAATTTCATTTTTGTGATACTTTGCAAAGGTTGGCCTGCAATCAAAAAACTTATTTGAATTAAACTAGACACATTTTGGCTGTGTGACTTCGTCAGTGTGACAATTCTTTGTTTCTCAATGATAAGTTAATTGATAATGACTAATCAGTAAACATCAGGTGATCATAATGAATCAATCTACAGTTTAACATCAAATATTAATTATTGGGTAAAATAGCACATCAGGCAAAAAAATAAAACGCCGTTCAAAAACATTGTACATTGTGCTATTGTTACAATTCATTAGTTTTGATTTTAAACTGGAGTCTGTGGATTGATTACTTATGATCACCTGATGTTTGTCGATTACTATATAATCATTGCCACACTGACAATAGCAGGTAGCTAAAACATTTGTCTTTTATCCCCTGCTTTAATTTAAACAAAACATTTTAGAGTGCAGACCAACCTCTGCAATGTTTGAATAAATACAGGTCTTGGCGCCCAACCAGCTGGGAGAGCACAGTGAACTGCATTGATCTTTGTTACTTACCCTCATATCGATCTCATCATCCTTTTGGCTTTGCTCTGCTGACCCATGAAAGCTGGATTGTTCATGATCTGCCACACATAAAGACTGCTCAGATAAAGACTCTTGCAGTGGCTTTTCTTCAACTGATGGAGGGCTATCAATGCTAGCTGCAAGAAATAAGAAGAAGATTTACTACAATATCACTAGCACTACATTTACAAAATGTATGTGTATGCCTACACAATGTTTAAGAAGAAACGACATGACTGACATGTTGGAGTAGCTGCAGCCTCAGCCCACTTAGCATCTATCTCTGTGTCTAGTCTCAGCTCCAGCACATGGATATGATCTAAGAGCTCCTGTTTGTGAATAAAACACTACCAGTCAGCATGGCATCAGATGAGATAGCACCAGTCAGAAATATGCATACATTCAGAAAGGTTTCACCTGTTTCTCCAGCTGATGCTGCTCTTGTTCCTTCTGCAGGGCTCTCAGACTGGCTCTCAGTTCCTGTATGTTTTACACACATGATGCAGTAATATCCAAAGACTACAGTGAAAACTTCATACATCACATTTTATGCTGTCTGTGGTGGGACTAAACTTCAGTGTATTTATCATGAAAATATATTAGTGTCATTATCAAGAAATACTTAGGGTCTAGGGTACTCTTTGTGTCTCCATGAATAAAGACATATATCCGACTTTGAAAAGTTTATAAATATTTCCAAAGTCACATTATTTGCTTTAATGTTATTTAGATTCTAAGGGGTCATGACATGCCTTTTTAATATGTTCCTTGAGGTTCACATATGATGTTAGTAAAGTTTTTTTTTAACAGTCAACATTTTTTCAAAGCATATACTCCACCATGTTCTGACTCTCTTTGATTTATGATCATGATGTTTTGATGGTATGTCTTTGTCAGCCAACACTCTCCCAGCAACCAGTGGGAGAAGACTTAGCAGGCTTAGAGTTTTATCGACAACACCTACATATGGATGATGAACTCTTGACATTCCCTTTAATTCCTGGAACTGACGTTCTGAAGACAACATCAATCACCCTGGATGTTTCTAACTACTGATATGGTTGAAGTCCCAGCAAGGTAACAGCTTTCCATTCCTTTCTTTTAACAGCATCCCAACTTAAAATTGCTATAGAAATCTCTTTTTGTCTTAATATCAAATGGATCCTGTTTTTGCATTGACTACAGTAGAGTCAATTCTAAAACCATATCCAATACCCATAATCCATGAATGTTAGAGTATGGTCAACTCTTTTCTAGTTTTTAAAAATAATTTTCCTCCTCGATCTGTGGTGGCAGGACCCCTGTTAGTCTAATGGAAGCATACGGTTCTGGTTGCCTGGCCATGCGCTTATGTGTGTTATGTTTTATGTGTTCAGGATATGGGGTCTGGATCCAGACACTTTGGTCTAGTCTTGGTTCAACACTTAAGCATCTCAACACTGTCGCTTCTATTATGAGCGTGCTTGGCACGCGTCTACATTTAAAATATCAAACTTGAGTGTGCAAAAGACACGACATGAGAACGGCCCCTTAGGGGTCTTTCACACTAGTACTTTTGGTGTAATGTTACTCAACATGGGTCAAGATGCCCAAGATGGTACCAAAGATTAGTTCTCAAGGACCTTGATGGGAAGTTTCAGATGAAAGTATCATGGACCTTTCTTCCAAACCTTCTGCATTTCTTCCACACCAGCCCACTTCTACATCTAGGGATGTAGAAGACCTCAGCTACTATACCAGATACCCAAACATAGAAGATTGTGAAGATTCATTGTGAAGAAGTGTTGATGCATGGGTGAGTTCCCAAGTAACCGATTTCTGATCAATGGCAAATATTTACTTTGGCTAGCTTCAAAGATGACTACAAGACCTGTGGTATCAGCTAATGTTTGACAACGAGCTATCATCCACAAGTTATTTATGTCTAAACAAGTCAACAGAACATTAAAAGCCTCTTTTTCCCCCCTGTGGGTTTACCTGTAAATATGCTGCGGGCTTGGGTGCATATATTTGCTTTCCATGCATCGAATTGCTTTCGATGCTGATTGAAGTACAGTACATTTTGGAAGCGGTTTCAACAAATGCTATTTTTTGATTCCTCATGTCATTACCCCTTTAACCCCTTTAAGTATTTCTTATTAATCAGTTTAACCAGTGTGCCGTGGCATCCACTAACATGAATGATGAGGGGGAAAACATTTCTGTAAACATACACATGCATTTTATATTGTTTTTAAATCTATTTTGGTCAGCTTATTTACGAGTTTTTTAAAGCAACTCTTGCCTCATATTGGTGTTGCTCCAAGACCAGTAACCTGACCCACATATGTGCTGGGTATCCAGAAAGCTCTGACTGATGTGAAAGTTTAATTATAGGCCATGCATGTGTCATGGAATATTTACCCGGTTACAGTCCTTCTCGTTCCCCAGCTCCACTTCCAGTTTTTCTCGCTCGGTTCTCTCCTCCTGGAGCCACTCTTCCTTCTTCTGAAGCTCACGGCTCAGTTTCTGAAAACGATCTTTATCCAACTTTAACAAGAGCACAGAGATTGAGAATCACATACTGTACTTACTAGTGGTGTTGTGGCTGGACTGATAAAAGTGGTAATAGTATGTGTGAGAGAGAGATTTCTTATTATAACTGATAATTAGGGTTACCTCTGCACTTTGTCTTAAAGTCTCCCTCTCCTGGGCCCAGGTGGCTTGCCCCTCACGCAGTGCCAGGTTGGCCTGGGACAGTTGTAAACTCATCTGTGCAGACTGAAGTCTGACCTGATGCAGCTCTGCATGGCTGTGACTCTGCAAGGAGCCCAGTTCACTCAGGTCCCTGCGGAGGGCCTCAGTGCTACACTCACTGGCCTCCAGACGCTCTTGCAAGGTCCGCAGCTCAGCATGTGCCTGCTCATTCTCTATCTGGAGAGAAAATATTCATTCACATGTTAACCATGTAATCTAGTCCATGTAATGCTAGTTAGTTCAAATTGTAAAAAATTTGTTCATTATTCATAATTATTTCACAGAATGAAGAAAATATTACAGTGTAGATTGTAAATGGTAATGTTGAATACAACATCTCATTTTAATTCACCTGCAAATCTCTCCTCTCCTTTTCTTCATCTCGCCTTTGTGTGGTCATCTTTTTAACTCTTTCCTTCATTCTGCAGAGACAAATGGCTACTATTTTATTCAATCAGTTGGTTAAATTCCAGAGAAATTCACAGTCCATAAGCAAAGAATAATTGTACTATGGTGAAGATTGGTATGGGTCCCGAATCACCTGTCAAGCTCGGCCTCTATGTCTTGTTTTTGTTGAGTCAGAGTGGCAGCATCCTGTTGGAGTTCTTTGATTTGCTGATGATTTTCATCTCTCTCTGCTAGCAACCCACTAAGTTCAGCAGCCATGTTTTCATGAGTGCTTTGCACATCCTGATAGCAAATATACCAGAGTTTAAAATTTCATATACTGTAGGTCTCTGTGTCCTTATTTTTCTGATTAGTGGCGATCCAAAAATTTTATTCTACCTTTTGTTTTTGCTCGTGTTCCTCAATTTTTTCAGTGCTTTGCCTCAGGTTGCTTTTTAGCTCATCAATCTGACACTTCATCACATTTTTTACTCTTTCAAGCTCATCTTTTTCAGCTTTCCATCTCTCCCTTTCTCTCTCGACCTCAGCATCAGCAGCCTCAAACCTCTTACGCAGCTCATGTAACTCACGCTGACATCCTTCTAAGAGATTCTGTAGAAATACCAGAAATATTAAAAAACATATGCAGGTAATTAGTCAAATAAAATTGTGTACAGTATGACAGATATGACAGGCCTAAAATGTTTTTGGACACTAAAGTCACACTTAAACTATCTGAATGTCATTGCTAAATACAGTAACATTTATACAGAATATATCTGTCATTTATGCTATACCCTAACTAACTCCACCTTTCCCCTTCAGTTTACACAGTTGTCCTAAAAGGGTAATCCCAGGTGTAGTTTCCACTAACAACTAAGAAATTGTTTCATAATTCAAAGCCTATCAAACTTTGTTTAGTTATTGTTTTGCTATCATTTTGTTATATGTTGCAATTACATACATTTTTAAATACGGATTGCTGTCCAAATCTTAATTAGGGTAATTGAAAAGCTGTTATTGTCAAATCTGTTCTGGTCTCTTCTGTTGAAGAATGCCCCACCTGCAGGATCAGAGCCTTTGGCACCACCACCAGCAGGTCATCTCCCCCCTCCTCTTCCTCGCAATTTATCTCCTGCTCTAGTGTAACAAGTTCATCCAGAGGTCTTGGAGCACAAAAAGTAAACTGAGAACTGACTGCACATATCTCGTCACGTTCATCCACATAAGCAAACTGATATACTTCCCCACCAGGTTTTGGTAGATAAGACGCTGAAAGATGGCAGGAAAAGTGGAATAAAGATCAGACAACTCCTAAAACCAAAACACGTGACAAACATAAACAGCCTGATACAGCCTTAAAGATGTCAAGCATTTGCAGTAGTGTTGCAATAGTTATAAAGTATCAGATGGCAACTGAGTGTTCTAGTTCTACCAAGAACTGCAGTTGTTATTGCACTTGCTGTTTCTGCTGGTGTTGGACATATGACAACATTAATGACCATATGACAACCTAATGACCATTAATGACCTATACAAAAAGCCTATATCAAACTATAGGCTACTGCAGTGTTTCCCAATCCTGAAGGCACACCGACACTACACACTTTTAAAACTTAAACACTAAATTAAAACACAATTTAAGGGGACTGTTGCATGCATAATTAGACTTAATAATGATGGTTATTTCAAGTAATGTGTTTGCTACATTAATAAAACAGACTGGAGGTTACTTTAAGGATTTGGAACAGGAAGTGGTGTTGACACTTGAATGTTTTCAGACAGTTCAGTGCTGTGAAAAAATTTGACAAGAACAATAAAAACGTAAAATAAGCTCAAATATGAGTCATCTTTACAGACAGAACAACTGGCAATGAGGATGACAGATGATTTTCCCGTGTTCCCATTTATCTACCCCAAGCCTCTTTTTTACCCCATCCTGGCGAGCCTATGGTCCCATGGGAGCAATGGAAAACGTCCTTTGAAATGTACAGTGGGGCAAATAAGTATTTGATACACTGCTGATTTTTCAAGTCTGTTAGCAACGGGCCCGATACTGTCCCAATGAAGCTGAAAATGGCATACTCCTTCACTGTCTTGGTGCCGAATGACAGCATGTTTTTTTGCACACTCTGAGACGCAGACGATCACGCCACTGCGATGACACTGTTAAATTGACACTTTGGGGGGAAAAAAAGAGTCTCCTGCAGAAACGGCTGCAGTTCCGACAGCGTGCTAGTGAGTCGATTTTTCAATATGTTGTTGACTTAAAAGGCCTGGCAAAACCGTGCTATTTTGGTACTTTATCAGATGAGATGAAATGAGTTCAGTTAATTGAGAAACCAAACAATACACTCGTTCGAGAGCGGCTGCTACTGGAAGATGATGATCTCACTTTAGACAAATCCATGTGCACATCTTGTATTCCCCTACGACTGGACACCGGGACTTATGTCTCGCTATTTAATATGGCCACTTATGAACGTTTCCTGCCATGCTTGCCCCTCCAGCCACCCTCTCTGAATATTTTTGCATATGGAAGCTGTGTAATAGAAGATATTTGTCTTATACACACACCTGCCCAACTTTCCATTTCACATTACTAGCAATGGCAGCAATATCCTCGAAAAGGAATTGTTTGAGTCCACCCAGACAGCAGAAATCTTACGGCATTTGTTACGCATGTTGGTGTATTCCATTGCACGTGGATTCCTTTTGGACTCAGTTCGGCCCCCAGCTGCTTCTAAAAATCATGTCCATTATTCTGGCTGGTGCCCCTGGCATTGCCATCTAGAGCAGGGGTTTTCAGCCAGCACCTGGCAAGGGGGGCACAAGCATCAGTTAATTCAGAGATGTTCTCTTGAGAATTTATGAATATGATTTAACAAATCTTTAGCCATCCACTAGGGGGCAATCTGACTCCCACTGCTAGTCGACAGAGCAGAGTTGGCTCGAGTATCAGTCACACTCAGTGTTGCCAAGTCCGTGGTTTTCCCGCAGAATTGGGCTACTTTAACACTTGCCGCATTTTGTAGTTTTGGGCTAGTTTTGAGTAGCAATTAGGCGGGTTTTGTTGTGAAAAACTGGCAACCCTTGTCACGCTTATTGACAGTGTAAGATGATTTACGATTAGCTGTGTCGGAAATCCAACCACGGATTGGCATGTTGGCATGTTGTTATCTCAGAAACAGACTCAGCCATCACATTGAATCAGGTAAACTGGTTATATATTTTTGTTTCAGTATAATTACGCACGCTATACCAGGGGCGGTTCTAAACCCTTTTTAGGTGGGTTTCAGCCCCCCTATCTGTCACCTTAGCCCTCCAAAACTATCTTAACGATCAGGCCAGTGTTTAAAGTCTTGTCGGTTTAAACATTAAAGTAATTTTAAGCCATTTAAGCCCAAGACATCTCAATGTGGTATGCATGCACTGTGATAGAGCGTTTCTATGCGTACCGCTCACACACCTGAAGTGCACAAACAGATAGCCTTCTCAGACAGCAGGTGAATACCAATGGCTGTCTTGACAAGTATCCTTGTCAGCACAGTCTGTTGTTTTAAGTGAATGTATACAGTAAAGAAAATATCAAATGTACATCAGTATAATGGATCCGTACATTTATTAATAAATAATGTTAATCAAAAAGAGCAAAAGAAAAATTGTTCGCTG